GAAGGTTGAAGGGAAATATTTTGGATGGTATTTAAGAAAAGGAAATGGGGTTTCTCAATTATTGAAGAGAGGTAGGTTAAAAGTATTATTGAAAGATTTGTACCATATTGTTCTGCCATTGGAGATATATCTGAAGAGACTGTAAGTGGTCCCTTTTAGGGCTCCTCCATTGGTAATAATGGAGCAAGTTGGAGAGCTTAAAAAAAGCTGGTCTGCAACCTGAAAAAGAAGCAGCACAGACAAAAGCCATTAAATAAGTTCAAAATTTTGAGGCACAAAGCCAATATTTTCCAAACAAACTCACATTATTCTGAACTTAAGTTTTTGCATTAATTTTCTTATGGGGGTGTCTTTTAATTTGTTCTTCAGTTGAAGCATTATCTCTTACATAGTTTTCGGTTTCTTAATATATATAGGAGATGTTTGGGATTGAATATAGTACTTCTTAGAAATTCGAAGGATTATATTTCAAAATTTATATATAAAAGCTATGAATAAGAAAAAAGATAGATAAAGAAAATAATGATATTGAAATTTATATAAATTTATTATTTTAAATAGGCTGCACATCCTATTTCTAATTATTATCATAGGTTTCACCATGAAGAAAAGAAAGTAAATTAATATACTGAAAAACACACTTAAAACATTCAAACTTTGTGTCTCAATTTTCAAGAAGTACTTTTCAAATGTTGAAAGTTGAAGATACGATTTTTTTTTTAAGTACAAAAATACGGTATTATTTACCAAATGAATAATTATGTTTTTATCTAATATAATTACTTCTTTTCGAGTTTCTGACCAAATTCACCTATTAAAACGTATAATTGTAAGTTTGGACTATCTCTTTGTTGGCTTCCATAACCATACTGTACTTAGCCTCTGTAGTGGAAAAGCTACAACTTTTTGTACTCCCCAAGTATAAACATATTCTATAGTGCGCCATATTCATATCTACCTACAAATAGTTCTACCATTTGAAATATGAGATTTTAACATATTCTACTGTTTTTTGCCCCAAATATTTGCACCCATTTTTATTGGTTAGTGGTGGCTTCTCTAATTATTCAAATCTTATATCAAAGTACATCATCAATATATGTAGCCATTTATTTTTCTAATATATTTTTGTTCTCATAATTTTATTTTTCATATAGTTTTATACTAATACTTATTTTAAAATAAAATGCAACATGATTTTAATGGAATATTTTAACTCCTCTCTTAATTATATAAACATGTATCAAGCTGTATATGTCTTTTTCAAGCAAAAAATAATTCATTATTTTGGTCGGTTTGTTTGTTTGTTATATTTCTTGATACCTTTGGGGGAAAAAAATCTTTAGGCATTTAGAGTAAATGAATTTTGACTTTTTTGCACCCAAACCTTAATTAGTAGGTGAGTTTGATTCTTTATTTTAGACCATTGATTTGCTAATTTCACAAATTGAATTTACTAGCTAGATTTAAAACTACTTCACAAATTAAACTATAAATTTATAAATTTAAATTTTATCTAGTACTCATGAAACGATGCTTGATTTTAGGCTAAAATTTAAATTAAAATAAATAGGGTAAAAAATATTTTTGGCCCCCGTAGAGTAGTAATTTAGTCCCTGAACTCTCAAAGGTAACAATTTAGTTTCTATAATGTTTGATAGTTCTTTTCTTTTTTAATTATTAGTCATTATTATTTACAAGGTTTCAAAATGTAGTGATCAGCTTACGTTTTAATATTTTTCAATTATATCATTTCTATTGGTAAATGTTAAAATTAGTTAATAATAAGCTTATAGTATGATATTTAGAAGAAGGAATTAGRTTAACAAAGAGATTAAAATTTTAAAAATTTGGAGAAAATAGAAACTTTCCCCTTCTCACAATTTTTATAATCTCATTCAATTTCTAACATTCACAAATTGAAATTGAAATGATATGATTGAAAGATGTTGAAAAAAGTAATATACTGAATTGAGACTGGGACTAGGTTTAAAAAAAAAGCCAACAAACACACACAAAAACATTCTGAAGAAAAAATTATTATACATTTAGTCTAATTTTAATAAAGTCAATTTRTTAAAAAAACAGAAAATTAAAAACAAAATTCAGAATAATCATGCGAGATTATTCAATTTGTTAATCTCCTGTTATTAATCAYGCGAGATTCCGAAGGCGTAAAATAATCTTCTAACTCTCTATTTTTACTTTCTAGTCTTATTTTTCAACCACTTTATTTTCTCGTGGGCTGTTTAATTAACATTTATTTCACTAGATTTTTTAGGAAAAAATAAAAAGTAGAGTTGCCGAAATTACAGAAGTAAGGCAAAGATCATGAACTAATGACGTGATGGTTGATTATTTCGTTGCTAATAATATTTTCAAAATAAATATTAGAAAAAAAAACTTAAGATTAATTTAATCTATCAACCAACTTTATAAATCCTCGAGAAGATGTCAAATTTTGGGCTACTGAGAGTCTTGTAGTATCAGTTATTATGAGGTATTATTCTCGTAAGTGACACGGTATCATTTCCAAGAAATCAAAAATAAAAGAATATCCTTCCACGGTATCTTTTCTATGCTGCAAAAACCTCTCGACCAGAGTGAAGAGGATACATGTCCTGTAAAACACTGTGTGGAAGTCAATGGTGTTTGACTGTCTTCATTCCCTTGTCCTTTATATGTTTCATGGATAAAAGAAGCACACACTTTGTTTTTTCTCTTCATAATTTCTTCATCCTCTTCATTCTTTAATTTGTAGTCCCAAAYTTGAAGGTGAATTCAATGTTATATGTGGTGTAGAAACAGCCCCTTGGAGGCCAGGTTCTAATTTCTCTCTTTCCAATCTTTATTGGTATGGGGAAGATCTTTTTCACTGTCAATATATATGGGATATGCAACTTGGGATGCATTTGAGTGGCCTCCATTAAAATAACAATCATGAGCTTTCAACAACAACCACACAAATGCTTAAAGATGTCAGACTRCATTCATGACATATCAAAAAAACCTCGATCAACTAAACTCAACTCGAGTAGGGTTTGGTTAGGCTCGTTGTCTGAGTTGAGTAAATTTAGAACTCAAATGATTGGATTGGATCTAAAAAGTATTTTAACTCAACCCAATTCAACCCATGAACACCTCTAAATGATACGAGAGGAAAAAGTGTTCTTTTTTCGTTTTTTTTCCTTTTGGTTTCTAAAATTATATCTATTAAGTTGTTAATTTGAAATTTAAATCATACTCTGGTCAATSAACTTTCAAAGTTACATCATTTCTAACATTGAAGTTTTTAAGTTTATTTCGTTTTGGTTAATGGAGTTTCAAAATGTTTATTATAGCTATTGAATATTTAATGTAATAACAATTTTGGTCATTAATAAATGGATAATGTGGCTTTTGAGTAGGAGTATGTGTATTGAATGTGTTAGTGTGAATCCTTTTCAGAAAGGGAAAAAAAAGTGTCAATGAAGACATGCATCAGAGCCCATATGATTCGTTGAGATGAGTATTGGAATTAGCRGATATTATGTGGCAAAATAATAACAATAACTCAATTGATTAAAATGGATACCTTTTAATGCTCAACAGTTAGAATAGATATTTTTAAAGTTTAAGGACCAAAATGAAACTAATTTAAAAGTTTATGGATCAGAATGAGATTTAAACYTTTTTTTCAATTTAAATTTATCCAAAATATAAATAATATTTATAATTTAAGTAGATTTTGAAAGTAAAATTCTTTATTAAAATGAAACAAAAATTTTTTTTGTGTGTTTGAGTTCCAAATGACGGGATATTTGAACCTTTGATTTTTAAAGAGGTAAATAATGTTTCGACTAGTTCAATTAGGTTATGGATACCATTTTAAGTAGTTAAAATGTTTCACAAATCCTACATTTATATTTTAAAAATAGTTTTATACAAACTATTTATGGTTTCTCAAAATAAGAAATTATGCCCTTTTGTCATACTCTAGAGACTCTAATGGGAATTGAGAAGCCCTTCATTCAAATTTTTAATGAAATTGGTAAATGTGGTACGTGTAAATTTATAAGGTCTACCAATTATATCAAAATTATATAATTGGAAATATATGATCTACATAATCCCTAGGTATAATTGGTACCCGAGCACGTAAAAAAAAAAGGAATTCGAGAACATTTTAAAACTTAGAAAATTGACAGTCCAAACATAACTCAATAGATAATGTATTTATTACCATCTCCGAAGATTCCTACCCTATAAGAAAAATGATAAACAATGAAAAAAAAATGAAATAGTCTATAGGTGAACTTTTCTCCAAATGGCAAGTTATGGGTGGTGGGGAAAGCCGATCCACAGTTTCACACTGAAACCAGCCAACTGTTTACCAAATTAAAATAACTATTTTTCYTTTTTCTTTAGTATGGTGAAAATTACAATTTCAATTGAATATCTATCTTAATCAGCTGAGTTATGCTTTAGTTGTCCACCATAATAATATAAGAAAACTCGTAGGATATTAAATCCTAGATAAGTGGCCACCATGGTTAAGTCCTTTACTATTAATATTCGAATACTTAGTCTAATATACAAACCCACATTTATATATATACTCAGAAGTACCAGTATTTATTTGTTGAAATAAAAATAATAGTAAAAATCAAAATAGTTTTCAGAAACTGAAAGAGGTTCCATATTTCAAACCAGCAAAACCTATTTACAAGCACAAACAAGACCATCCAAATTAAGGTTCTTGAAAGCTAAAACCAGACAACAGACTTACATGCTACAGCAGAAAAACCCTATAACGCATGCTTGTTTAGACATTATTACTTATTACACGACGGTGAAGGGAGGGATTACTAGATAATTACCGAGCTAATCGATACCGTAGCGAAATGGGGAAGAAACCGAATGCTTGTCACCATCCAAGGCCTAACAACAAAGAGATATCGGTCAAGAATACACCACGGTACTCCCCGTAGCAGGCTCGGGGTGGTAACAAGTCATTTCGGCATGTTCTTCGAGATCTTCGGGGTGGTAATGAAGCATTTCTTTCCACATCATCTCTCGTATCATTTCTTCTCCGAGTTCCTCATCAATGTGGAGATCGATGGGTACCTGAGCTGGAGGATTGCTGTTTGGATCATACAGTGGGGACATGTATGGATGCTGCAGTGCTTCAGTGACACTGATYCGCTTTGATGGGTCGAAAACAAGCATCTTTTGAAGAAGATCAATTGCGAGAGGATGAGCATTCGGATAAAGACGGTTGAGGGGAGCCCYGGGAGAGTACGGGAGAGATTTAATATACTTCCTTGCCTTTGGATTGTCTATGAACTCAAGGTCTTCCTCTCTCTGGCTACCCAGTATGTTAATTATCAACTTCAATTGGTTCAAACATTCGGTGCCGGGGAAGATAGGTTTCCTACCGAGAAGCTCCGCAAAGATGCATCCTACAGACCACACATCAATTGATGTCCCATAATTCTCACAGCAGAGCAGCAGTTCCGGGGCCCGATACCAGCGAGTTACAACATACTCTGTCATAAACTGATTCTTGCCRTTGCTTGTACGCGCCAACCCGAAATCGCATATCTTGAGATCACAATTTGCATTGACAAGGAGGTTCCCGGGCTTCAAGTCGCGATGTAGAATGTTTGCTGAGTGCAGATACTTTAGGCCTCGAAGCAACTGCACCAATAAGTTAGAATAAGTAGCAGAAAAATGTAACAGAAAGAAGAAATTCAAATGTTTCACAAGTTTGGCATCACAACTTATGAAAATAATCTCAAATAAATTTGAGATCAAGTTGTAAATCTAGTCCCTCAACTTTGAGTATTGTATCTACTTAGTCCTTGAAATTTAAAAAGTTTCAATTACAATCCTTGAACTTAGGATTATTTCATTTTAGTCCCAGCCATTAAGACCATTAACAGAATTGTGGCATGCCATGCCCATTTGTCTATTCAATTATTTGCCACAACAATTATCCAAAAGACATGTCATGTCAAAATGAACATTCTATTAGTGGTATTGATGGCATTAAAGTCAGGTACTAAATAAAAATATAATTCATGCAAATGCAATTAAAGCTTTTTAAACTTCAGATACTAAATAAATACAATATTCAAAAGTTTCAGAACTCAATTTATAATTTAAAGTAAAATTAACTTGCTTTTGGATAACAGAGACCTTGCACCATAGAATAGCTTTTAGGTCATAAAGATTGGTAACTGCAGAAATGGATACAATCAGCATAACTTGACATATCGAAGGATTAGAGCTACAGAGCGACTCGAAAAAACCAATTTGAGACAAATAATAAAATTTTGACAAAGGGTTGTAAACTAGGCGGGGACCGATAAAGGCTATGGAATGGCATACCAATCTAATCTCAAGAAGGCACTTTGGCATGATACCRAACAACCAAATGCTCATGGTAAAGAGAATTTAATAGAGCTATCACATCAGCGTGCCGATCTAAATTTAATTAAAACATAAATAAGTGAATGTTAAAAGATAATAAGAAAGTCACTTTACCACTTCAAAATCTGAATGAAATGGTAATAAGTAACACGAAAGCCAGGAACAAATTAAGCAATGTGGGATTGTTTGCTTCAGTTGAAAACCCAACACTGGGAACAAGACAGAGCAGACTGGGATTGATTGATTTAATTGAAAAAAAAACGAACACTGGAATAAAACAGAGCAATATGGACTGTTTGCTTCAGTTAAAATGTCGACAAGGGAACAAAACAGAAAAATTTGTGAGAGTTTAACAAATAAACGGCGATATTTTTGCTCTACATAGTAAAGAAACAATATCACAATAATCTAAAAGATACTGTGGATTGCATGTATTGATATCAAAAGAAATGTACCATACCACCAATTAACCAAGTAATGAAGAGAAACGATAATTTGGTTCCGAAGGAACTTGCTTTTTCGATACTAATTACACTAGACTTGAAGTAACACTATGTAACAACAATATAGAAACTGGAAAGGGAAGCTAAAAATAGCAAACCTGAAAGAGGAAATATTGGCAGTGGTCATTGGTAAGAGTTTGAGAAGACTTAATAATCTGATGTAGATCCGTGTCCATCAGTTCATAAACCAAATAAACATCTTTGAAACTCCTCCTATGGATGGGCATCATCACATCTTTCAAGCATATCACATTTTCATGGCGAAGATGCCTAAGGAGCTTCAATTCGCGCAAAGTCCTGAGGGCATCGATGCGGTTCTCAAAGGCATTGTGTATCCTCTTTATCGCAACTTTTTCATTTGTTTCCCTATTCACAGAAGAACACACAATCCCGTATGCCCCTCGACCAATAGGCTTGATCGGTACATATTTCGTATCAATCTCAAACAATGTCTGCCACATTGAGAAGTAATGCTTCCCTTGTGACCTAAYCCCGTTTGGAGGCTCAACTGGCGTCGCCATTCCCTGGGAATCAAAGGAAAACTCACAAAATTCACTTCCTAAATCATCAATTGTCTTCAAAATTGCCTATGGAAACAAAACAAAACAATCAAGAATACGTTCAAGTTACTAAAAATCAGCTATACATGTAAGATGCAACAAATTATAATAGAGAACAACAATCATCYCTTAGTCAAAACTACAGACAAACAAGTTTTACTAATACATATATAAGTTATTCCTAAACAAGGAGCGAGAGAAAATGTTTACCAATTTACCACTTGTTCTTAGACGCGAAAATTTCTCCAAAGAAGGAAAAGAAAACACAGAATTCTAAGTCCTTGTCCTCAGTTTCCTGCTACATCGCTTTCTCATATCCTCGTCCACACCAAACGGGTATTTCCTTCCACAGAGAAATCTAGAAACAAACTCCCAAACTTTTCTACCATCAACCAAAATCACCACCCTCAAACCGCGAAGAGAAGAAGTCGTTACCAGTCACTCACTCGAGATCTTCGTCCTCCACAAGATCCGACGACTGACTGACTGACTAAGAAGGAACTGAAAAAACCCCAAGTGGGAAAGTGGGCGAAAACCCTAAATTAGCAGAACCCCAGCTCGAAATGGCGGCAGAAGAGCGTGGAATTCAACCATCTAAAAGCCCTGAAAGCGAAATTGCTACTTTGATCGGATTTCCAAATGGGTCGCAGTCAACGAGGACCCAGATGATTTCTTTCTTCTGGTTTTCAGATTTTTGCCCCCATGCGAAAGCAGGATCAAGCTCAAGTCCTCCGAGCGAGCCAGCAGCGATGRATGGATTATTGGTGCGCATCCAATGCGAGCTCACGCGCGCGGATTTTTCGCTCGGYCATCAGCAGCTATACAATTTGGATTACCCACTTCTTACTTTAATTGCATAAATAAATCGGACCCACTTTCTTCTCTTCTCCCGATATTTTTTTCTTACATTGATGTCGATTGAAATATCTGGTACGCCTTTATGGAAGATATGGATCAAATATGGAAAAGGTTGAGCTTTTTACTCTTCAAAGTTCTACTTCAGCTACCAAATTTAACAAACTTTCAAATTCATCCCTTTAAACTTGATATAATTGATGCTCTCGGTCATACTTTCTTCATACGAACAACAGTTTGAACTTTGCAACAAGTCAAAATTCTAGAAACAAAGATGGAAATTTTAAAACTATTACTGGAGAATCAAATTTATAATTTAACCCTGAAAATATCAACATGTTCCCTCATTTTCTTTTCTTTTTTTTCCTATTATTTTAGCTTCATTTCAACTTGTYACTTGTAGTTTTAACAGTTTCAATTTTTGTTCTTATAATTTGAGTTTAATTTTAGTTTGATCACTATGATTTATTTAAGTTTATAAATTATTATTTTCAATACCACATATAATAAATTTATATTTTCTATTTGATTGGTCTTGTAAATAGGTATAATTTAAAAAAAAAAAAAAAGAGGAGAGTTGTCCAACAAGTCACAATTTATATTGGCAAGATCCGAGTGGGGTTTGTGATTTTGTAAAGGTTGATCGGGTTGCGAATTACTGTACTYATCACCTTGCACGTCGTGCTTCAAAGAGTAGGGAGAGTGAAATGTGGGATTTTTCAATCCTAATTGACTGGAAATTGTTGTCATTAAGAATTTTTCCGTTGATTAATGAAGTTTTTTTTTTTCAAAAAGAAATATATATATTCACTAAATTTAAAATTTTGAAGTTGCAAGACAAGTTGAAATAAAGTTAAAAAAAACCATAATTTACGAATGTTTTATTTTTTAATTTATAATTTAGCCAAAGTGCATGGACATTTGCGCCATTTAGAAGGTTCGGTTGGTCAAATTAGCAAGTCAAATCCAAAAATCTTTTTTTGGAAAACTTCACTTAATCATTACTATCTAATGGACAATATTTATAATTTCATAATAACTACAAAATCATCTTATTATCAAATTCATCAAATAGTAATATAATATCTAAATTCATTTAATGTAAAATTTCTAATTTGGTCATTAATATATAATTTTTTTTTAAAAGCGGTTCAATAGTACAAATTCAAAATCTATATTTTGATTCTTGATGTGACATGAAAAAATATTAAATTATAATAAATATTATAATTTAATGCTGTATTTGCATGCGGATAAAATACTATAGTTTGATCAACAATTTATCTTTTAATCATTTATGTATCCATTTTAAGATAATTAGCCAAAATGTCTAACTTTGATTTAGAGGAGTTTTCGCAAGTTCGCTCTATTTATTTTTATATAATTAAATAAATATCGTAAAGGTTGAAAGTTTACCATTTTTATCTATGACTTTGGATAGARATCAGATTTCTTCAGAGGAACAGTTAACACCAATGTCAAATTTCAAAGYGACTCTATTGGCYAATGACAAATATAGAAAGTAGTTGAAGTTCAAAGTATTCTCGTTTGGTTGAATATAAGATGTTTTATYATCTTACCTAAAATGGTTGGAGAATCTTTAACCTAAAATAATAAATTCGAGTTATGACGCTGCTTTAATGATGTATGACTCCGAAAAAGTTTATCTTAGAAATAATATTACGAAGAAAATACTAAATTTATAAAAACATAACGTTTAGTCTGAAGATATTAAGTTTGAGATTGAAATGTTTGATAATTTTTTTTATAAATAATAATAGTTCCCAGTACTGTAGACACTTTATTGGGTACAAATATATATATATATATATATATATATGAAAAAAATGTTACAGAAAAATGAATTTTATTGTCTTAATTGATAATTTTGATTCGTGAATTACAGGTTTAATTTGTTTTCTTAAAATAATTGGAAAAGGGCAAAAATAGGAGAGATAAAGCCCAGGCCCAAGTTCCAAGCCCACTTATTTTTATTTTTTTGGAAAGGGCCCACTTGTTTTTAACCTAATATTTCACATATAAAATACTAAAGAAAAACTAAATTGTGAGGGTCGGGCAATATAATTTTTAAAAATTTTAATTTTCTACAATTTTACAAAAGTTTTTATACCAAAAATAAATATTTATTTTGTTTTTTAAGGGGATTGAATTCACAACCTTTTGATGAAAGATATATATCCATTATCTTGAAGCTAATATATATTTTATTTTATCCTAGACTTCATTGCAAGTATATGAATTTTTTTAAGGTAATATTATAACTACAATTTCTACCCAAAAATTCTAGTAATCACACAAAGATATTTTAATTAAACAACTAATATATATTTCTTTAAGCACCAGTTACTATTAATATTTCTTTAAAATGTCATATGTGTATTGTACGATGCATACATATCTTTTTAGAAATTAATAACCAATAAGACTGTATTTGTTTATGCAAGGATATGCACAACAGTGTGTTCCAGATTGTAGCTCGAACTCGGCCTCTGGACCGACCTGAACACTTGGGCGGACCTGCACAAAAAGGTGAGCATTCCGACGATCAAGTCAGTACAGGTCGGATTCCCAGTTTAGTTCGAGGCCAGAAATCATCGTACCTGATCAGGGAGTGAGCTCCTCTACTTATGGGTGGTAGTCCCGCTAATCTCGCGACGGTTACATTCGGTAATCTCGGGACCGTCGGTTACACCCGGTAATATCGGGACCGACGGTTACGCCCGATAATCACGCCGCAGACAGTTGCTCACATCGGCCCCTACCNTTGTTTTTAACCTAATATTTCACATATAAAATACTAAAGAAAAACTAAATTGTGAGGGTCGGGCAATATAATTTTTAAAAATTTTAATTTTCTACGATTTTACAAAAGTTTTTATACCAAAAATAAATATTTATTTTGTTTTTTAGGGGAATTGAATTCACGACCTTTTGATGAAAGATATATATCAATTATCTTGAAGCTAATATATATTTTATTTTATCCTAGACTTCATTGCAAGTATATGAATTTTTTTAAGGTAATATTATAACTACAATTTCTGCCCAAAAATTCTAGTAATCACACAGAGATATTTTAATTAAAAAACTAATATATATTTCTTTAAGCACCAATTACTATTAATATTTCTTTAAAATGTCATATGTGTATTCTACGATGCATACATATCTTTTTAGAAATTAATAACCAATAAGACTGTATTAATCAAAATAATGAGAGAAAGATTAAATTAAACTGAAGAAATAACTCAGGATGAAAATTGTTTAATTTAATAGAAAATTATATTTCAAATAATAATATTAAAGATAAAAAATATATAGCTTTATAATTAATGAATTCACACAAGAACATATAAAATAAAATAAAAACTATGAATTTTGAATCCATATCKTCTCTTTATTCCTAGGAATTTAAATCCTAGACAAAATAACATGTTTTTGGATTCTCAATGTAGTTTTTTTTTTAATTTGAATAATATATTTTTTTTTCATTTTTCCTTAAATCTTATCAATAAAACTACGATTGGTTCGACTCAATTTGAGCTAAAATCAACTTTGAGGTGACCAATATTGAAGCGTAACTAAGCCGATAAATAATTCAATTTCAACTTATTTTGATTGATTTATATATTTAATTTTCAGTTTTAGCTTGCATCCTATATAATATCAATTGATGTAAATTAAAAAAAATACAGTGTTTAATTACCAATTATTCGTTTATTATTTTTATAAAAAAAAATAATTTTAGCTAAATTTCAAAACAAAAAAAAAAGTTTTTGGAACTTTATTTATTCATTAACGTAAGGACTTTAAAATATTTTCTAGAAAATAGACTATAAAACAAAAAGTTATTAGTTAACGCAATTACTTTTAAAAGTTGTTTAATGGGTCCTAAATTATTTACTATTTAATTGTTAATTGCAATATCAGTCCAACTTAATTTTTGTATGTAGTATAATAAATAAACCAATGAACATATTTGGATAATGTTCAATTTAACACAACAGGATAAGATTATTTATATTTTAATAAACCTTAATAATAAGATATAATTTTTTACGCACCTAATTTTTTTTTTAGATTTTTTAAAAAATAATAATTGGTTAATTTGTTGAGAAAAAAGGGAAAAATTATAATTTGAGGATCCAATTAAATATGTGATTTCTTAAAAGGAAAATTGTTGCTTACTTTATTGTCACATTCTATAGTTGGTTAATTTATTGAGAAGCGTAATTTAGAATTGAAATTGTTATAACTTTTTTTATGCAAAATAATTTTTTTCATCACCATCTAACTATCATAGATAACTTTTCCAAAAAAAAAAAAAAATCTAACTATTAATATAGTTTAAGATTCTCCATTAATATATGTTTTTTTACCTCTTCAACCCTATGTTATTTGTTCTTTCAAAATATTTGTTTATATCAAAATATTCTTTTTTTTAATAAGTATAGCGATAAAAATGAAATAATTGTAAAAATGTAGAGAAAAATTAAATTATTTTTATCATACAAATTTAATTATGSGGACATGTTCAACCTAACTCAATTCAACATTAAAGATGAAGATTTGAAACATCATGGAAAAAAACAAATCTAATTATAATTTTGTTTAGCAATTTTTTATTTTTTATTTTTTCTTTGCAAAAGCTAGCACAACTAAGAGTAATATTTCATTTAGGTGGTGAGTTAATCCCCATCTATTAAAAAAAATTATAAATTCTTTTTGTTTTAGCAATTTTCATAATTTTTAAGAGATTAGTATCATATCTTTTTGAAGATCCTAGTCTAATAAACAACTTACACCCATTTTTTATGATGATCATATTTTTATTATTTAATTCTTTTAAATATAGCTTTATTATTGTTTTCTTGTTTCTTTTATTTTACAAATATATATTTTTCAAGTCTCGATAAAATTTTAAAAATAAATACTAGATTTTGAAAACTATATTTTATAAGTTAATGCTTGATAACCATTTCGTTTTTAAGTCTTTTTTTAATTAATT